CCCCCCCCCCCCAGAGTATAAGCTTTCTATTTCTCCTTTAATTCTTCATTTTGGCAACATAGCATTAAATAATGTTAAATTTACATAGTAGAATAGAAATAGTATGTGCAATTCCCAGACCACTACAGAGAAAATAAAATAAACTCTATTAAGCAATTATTATAAATGAGAAAACCACCTAAAAAATTAATATATAAAACATATAAAATTAAATTACAGGAAAAACGCAAATATCTGTGACCTCACCTACACTCTGTTGATTATATAGTTTAACCCTCAAGGAACAAGCTCATTTCCCTTATATCCAAATTCATGGGGGAACATTGCCTACCTCGTGCCCCTCCCCATCCCATAATCAACACTATTAGCCAGTGCATAGTAGCTGCCCATTTACAGTTTGTATCTCAGTATACTTACAAAGTAGCAGAAGTCTTAATCTTCACTATAGAAAATTTCAAAAATTTTACGTGTTCTAGATTTATTGTGGATTTTAAAGAAAAATCTAAGTATAAAACCAGTTTGAACTAAGGTAGATACATAAGACTCTAAGGATCTTATTGAGTAGCTATTGCTAAATTCAGAAAATAGAAAAGAGGAAAGAGATTCTATGTGATGAACAGAGATTAAGAGTGGTTTTCTGGAACTTTCCAAATGTGTGGGGACTCCCAGACGTGCAGTTCATCTCTAGGTAGTTAACTCTGATATGGTGTCTTTTTTTTTTGGCAGCTGGCCGGTACAGGGATCCAAACCCTTGACCTTGGTGTTATAACATTAAGCTCTAACCAGCAGAGCTAACCAGCCAGCCCAATGTAGTTATATTGTAATTGTCCACATATCTGTTTCCTCTGCCAGTCTCTGCTGGATCTTTGAGGGCTAGAACTGTGTTTTATTCACCTTGGAGACCCCAGTACCTGCCACAGTACGAACCTCATAGTAGTTGCTGAGTAAATAGTTATTGATGGGCAGGTGCCGAGCCAAGAATTAGGATTATTAATACCCATTTTTCTCTGAAGTGGCTTTTACATACCTGTTCAGGGTGTATACCCATGGAGCCAGGTCATTTGCTTTGTGGGGTTACAGTCAGGTATCCATGATTAAGGAGCATCACAGAAAGGAAAAAAGATCAGGCAAAATATAGGGTTGAAAAAGGGAAGAAAATATCAACCCCAGTGCTTTTTAAACGTACAGCTAGCCAGGGAGCCTAAGCCTTTTTGGCTTCTCTTAAACAATAATTCCACAGCAACGAGGAGCTTTCTTGTGGTCATGTCTCTACCCATTTACACAACTAGCTTTGCAGACATATAGGGATTGTATACTCTCCTTTGTTTCTACAAGGAGCTTTTGAAAGCCAGCTTTGTGGCATGCTGTGTGCTAAGTCTTGGAGATACAGAGTTGATGTTTCTGCTTTCAAGGAACTACAGTCTGACTTTTTACTTTCTTTCTTTCATTTTTGGTGGCTGGCCCAGTATGGGGATCCAAATCCTTGACCTTGGTGTTACAACACCATGCTCTAACCAGCTGAGCTAACCAGCCAGCCTGAGGAACTACAGTCTGAAGAGAAAGACAGACATGCAAACAAATTACTTTGGAGGGTGATCAATATGAAAATACAAGTATGTCCTGAGGTCTCCACAAGCTGCAGACATTAACCTGAACGCCAAAACCTGTAGGAGGCTAAGTTAGAGACTGGGCATGAAGTCGTTCAAGGCTGTCTGTCTTTGGAGGGCTGAGTATACAGGGAGGGGCACAGATCATCTGAGGGCTCTGAGAATGAGGAGGTGAGATGAAGAACACAGGAGCTAAGTGTTAGTGAGCAACCACTATGCCATACATTGTCATTTTTATCCCTCTCAGAACCCTCTGAGTAGGTGGTATTTTCCTTTTCGTTTTTTTTTGTTTGGTCAGTTGGTTTTCTGTTCTGGTTTTAAAAAAAAATGGATAACTAGACTTAAAAGGTAAAGCCACCTGCCGAAGACCTTCTGGCTAGTAGGTGGTGGTGCCAGCTGTGAACTTCAAAGCCCATGATGATCTTGGGTTGATCTTGAGTTGTCCTTTCATTGTGTGTGATGCCCACACATTGATAATTGAGTACAGGACATTGGATCAAATCAGCTACAAACAATGAATGTTCTTCTGTTTGCTTTGGCACTTAACTAGCTTCCAGAGGAGAAACTTCCATAGCAATGTGAATGACCCTTAAACAGGCAAGAAATAGGAATTTTTAG